GTCGATAACAAGATTTACAACGATTTTTTTTTCCGAAGCTCGCACAGCAATTGCTTGCAATGCTTCTTTTGTAAAACCGGGTGATCCATCGACCACCTGGTACCACGCTCTTATTGTTGATGGATGTGGAAGAATTCTTTTTCCCCACATTTTTCTTATATAATTATACGCTTTTGGCGAATAAAAATGTAGAGTTAATGCGAAGCTGCGAACCTCCTCGGAATACTTTCCTCGACGTTTCTGCAGTAACTTAGCTAACATATTTTTCATTTCATCAGACATCATACTCTATGAAAATGAAAATCAAGAAAAGACAATTGTAATAAACTTTCCAGGTCTTTAAAATTGTCAAACGATAAACCTGAGAATATACGTATAGCTAAAGATAAATAGCTATGCGTATTTAATAAAAATACAATGTTATCTACAATGATCTGTTCACAGATTATAAGAGTATATAATCTAGTTCTATTCTATATAACAGTTACTACGTTTACGCGAGCGTTATTACTTCTGTAGTAACTTACGATAATTCCTTCGCGTAAACGGGATTTTGTAGTAACTTACGATAATTTACTCCGCGTAAACGAGTGAATTATCGTAAGTTACTACAGAAGTAACGCTCGCGTAAACGTAGTATACGACTACGATTTACGCCGATCAAGAAGTTCCAACATCGATGCTATAACTTGATCGGCGTAAATTGGGCCGTGTAAGGGCTCAGACACAATGAGAAAAATAAGGAATAAGATAAAGGAATAAGGAATAAGGGAACTTCAGTACACATACATTAAAGTGAGATGCAACATGCCTTATTCCTTATTTCTTTATCTTATTCTTTACTTTTCTCATTGTGTCTAAGCCCTAAACGTAAAATTATAAGCATCTTTTATATACAATTGCAACAATCGGAATGTGATTTGAATGGGATTATGTTACCGTTAATGAATCTCCTGCTTCGTGGGACATCAATCCTTTATCATGTAAATGTTTAATCATATCTTTTAAAGAGGTGATACGTTTCCTCTGATTTCTGTTGATATTTTGCAAGTATTTAATTTTTTTTAACCTCTCTTGCTCCTTGTCTTTTATGAACTTTAAAGTTCGTCGAGCTCTTCTTGGAGTGGCAAAATCAGGTGAAGTGATTTCTGAGATATAGCGTGGTTGATGAAATCGACGCTTCTTAGGAGTATTAACGTAATTTTCATCAGAACCTAAGTAAAACAAGCTTATAATTAAAAAAAAAAAAAAAACAAGCACATGATTCTGAACTGTTGGATTTATTGAAAATAATAAATAAATGACTTACAATTACGTTTGGATTGATCGGTTTCTATCGAGTTCTGTTGGAATTCCTTCAATTCAAGATTCTGTTGGAAGGAAGGCTCACAGTCAGCTGATGAAGAAAAATCAACTGTATCCATATGTTCTACATCTTGAAGAATAGGCGCACAGTCCGTCGGTGATAAATAAGAGTCGACATTTAGTGATGTTATATTTTCTTCGATAATGTTGTCAATTGCTGGCACAACCTCAAATCGGGATGAATTCGGAATACATATTGAAGGAACTGACCCAGGCTTTAGAACTATTCTTGAATTGCCAGCAACTTTCGTTATCTTCAAATTTTCAGAAACAAAATGAACTGAACAAATGTAAACATGAGATACATCATCTGCCTCGGTTAACCCACAAGCATCTTTCCATTTTTGACGAAGAGTTAGATTCTTTGGAAATCTGTAAAAAAACGATTAAAAAATTACATTTTTATGATAGAAATTGTAATTCTTATAATTTATCAAACTTACCCATGTACAGAAATGTATTCATTCTTTGATGGCTTACGATTGCACAAATAACAACTCTTAGACATTTTTATTAGATGATAATTCCAAATTGTATGTATGACAAATGTGTACATACAATGATACAATTTCCTGACTTTACTGACCAAATAACCTACAAATCACATAAGTTTCTACGCACTCCCACCCTCGGTTTCAACGCATGCGCACAACGCACAATTCGTCCGCTCTAGAGTGAGACACGAATATCGGTCTGCACCGTAATGTTGGCGAGCCTTCTCGAGGTCTATCAGCAATATAGAAGTATTACATATATGGACAACACACGCCATCTACGGCTATTCGACAAGAGGTTCGTCCTGGCCGTTTTCGGAGCAGCACTGCTTGAAGGCCATTAAATATAGGAAGAAGAAGAGCCGTGTGGCTACCCTGACGAGTGGTTCGTCCTGGCCATTTTAGAGCTGTACAGCTCATAGGCCAATAAAGAAGAAGAAGAAGACATAGTGTGCATTCAAAGTAGATGTGTGAACTTTCCACGCGTGGAAAATTGTAAACCATCTTGGCATCTTGCTTTGCGCGAAAAGTGTATGCGTGGAGGCAGTAGGTTCCGCCCCCCTGCGGAGAGCTTCACTACCATTAAACTAGACACATGGAGTGCCTTGTAAAGTACAGGCGTAAACTTTTCATGCGTGGAAAGTTGTAAACCCATGTGGCACCTTGTTTCGCGTGGGAACCCATACAGCACAGAAACCTTTCAGAAATATCTAAGAAATGTTTCATTCGATAGGTTGAAACATCTCATAAATATTTCAAAATGTTTCTGCAACAGCTCTGAGACATCTCTGGAATAGCAAAATGTCCGCGATTCTTGCACTTGAAACCTTTCTGAAACCGTGCTGAAAAGTTACCAAAATATATCTGAAACCTTTCAGAGATATTTAAAAAATGTTTCATCTGATGAAGTTGAAACATGTCATAAATATTTCAAAATGTTTCTGCAACATTTCTGAGACAGCTCTGGAATAGCAAAATGTCCGCGATTCTCGCACTTGAAACCTTTCTGAGAAAATGTGTTGAAAGGTTTCCGAAATATATTGCCGTATTTTTTTTATTCGGGCGGTCACCACCTATCCAAGTAGTAACCGCACTCAAAGTTGCTTGACTTCCATGATCGAACGGGCTAGTGACAATCCTCTGGTTCTGATGCTTAATTCCTTCTAGCTTATGTTCATATCGTATATAAGCATCTTTAGTGTTCAAAAATTTGAAATTATTTATTAACTGGCAAATATTAAAAACAACGCAACAACAATTGATATATTATAAATATTAACCCGTTGTGGTTACATGGGGTCCAGTGGACCCCAGGCTTTTTTTTCCTTAAAAGTATACTATTTTGAGAGTAAAACGCAGGAAGTTTTTGCTCTATTTCAAAAAATTTTGATGAATATTTTTGTAAAAAAGTCAAATTTCTTGAAAAAAAATGTTTTTTCTTGCGTTTTTTCAACATAAAAAAATTTTTAAAATTATTGGATTATAAAGAGGAATTAGTCATAAACTAAATTCCAGTTCAAGGTTTGATACATCAAGAGTGGATACATCAAAAAGAACGCAAATGGCAACTGTTGTGGGGTCCATTGGACCCCGTGTGACCACTACGTTATTTTTAGGAGGTGTGACCACAACGGATTAATATAAAAGATTTGTATATCATTACATAATATAATATTAATCATTTATATCTGAGAAAAGCAAAAAGCCCTACATATGATGGATGTGGTTTTTAGGGCTGCAATTAAAAATTTCTAAATTCGTCTATATTTACTTCTTCTAAATGTGTATAAAGTTTCATCAAAAACTCAACTAAAAGGTTTGCAAAATTATATTTTATGAAATGTTTCCGAAATAACTTAATTAAAATTTTTTATTGGGTGAGAAAGGTTTCAGAAACAGTTCAACTGAAAGGTTTACAAAATCATTTCATATAAAACAATTCAGAAATAAATTAACTGAAATTTTTCAAATTTATTGCGTGAGAAAGGTTTTAAAAACAGCTCAAGTGAAAGGTTTACAAAATCATTTCATATAAAACAATTCAGAACTAACTTAATTGAAAGTTTTCAAATTTATTGCGTGAGAAAGGTTTCAGAAACAGCTCAACTGAAAGGTTTACAAAATCATTTCATATGAAACAATTCAGAATTAAATCAACTAAACGTTTTCAAATTTATTGCGTGAGAAAGGTTTTAGAAATAGCTCAACTGAAAGATTTATAAAATTATTTCATGTGAAACGATTCAGAGATAACTCAACTAAAAGTTTTGAAAAATTATCTTCATGTAAAAGGTTTAAAAAACATTTCTGTTGCAACATTTTATATGACATATTGCAGAATTCTTTCAGAGATGTTGCACATGAAATGTGAAAGGTTGAAATGTTTTTGAAACCTTTCTGGAAGCTTTGTGCAAGAATCTGTGCTGTATATGGGAAGTGTATGCGTGGAGGCGGGGGGTTCCACCTAAAAAAAACTAACCTAACCCGACCCAATTGTTGTGTGGATGAAAAAATATATGCGTAAATACAATAGATTCACACTTTTCCATCCACAACAAAATTAATGAAAGATTTATTACTTTTACCAAAAAGTCTTGTTATTACCGGTAAAATTGATAAATTTGCTATAATTTATCACATTTATCACCGTATGTTGAAAATTATGCATAATAACCGCTAATTATGTATAATTATCGAATTTATCACTTTTACAGTAACATATATCATCATATAGAATCAATTTTAGTCGATAAATGCTATCATAAAAAAAATTTTTTTTATTTCCCGATCACGCGCACTTCATTTTTTACATCAAAAACAACTTATTTGTAAAATTTTAGGTCGATTAGGAGAGCAAGGGTCATTCGGAACTACACCCTATATAAATAAATGTTTAATAAATAATCAAAAGCTTTAAAAAATAAAGAAAAAGAAATTATACATATAACTTTTTACATACGAAATTTTTAATACTTCTTAGTTTTGATTAACCAAAAAAATTTTCAACTTTTCTTCTTTCTCATAGGTAGAGAAAAAAAGGATAGATGAAGATAAAATAGAAAGATTAGGTCTTAGCAATGTGCAATGCGAGAATTAAAATATAGAAAAATTAAGTATGGATGGAGTGAATGCTTAAAGAAACAATATAAACCAAGTCCACTTCCTGGCTATATAGCTGAAATTAATAAACTTTATTTCAACTTTTCTCTCTCTCTCTCTCTCTCTCTCTCTCTCTCTCTCTCTCTCCTATAATAACTTAAGTTATTTAGCGATGCTCCTATAATAACTTAAGTTATTTAGCGATGCTCCTATAATAACTTAAGTTATTTAGCGATGCAGTGTGACCAAAAAGGGTTAATAAGCTATATAAGCCAAATTATCAGAACACAAACAATTTTATATGGAATTAATTTACTAGTTATTTGCTATTTTTTGCTGTTAAAAGTAATTTTTTTTGCTCCAACTATTAAAAAGTTACGAAGAGCTAAATAGCTTAAGATTAAGCTTAACCCTTAAACACATACTGTCCAGTCAGTACCATCAATACATAACGTGGGTATGCCATAACCCGACTCGCGTATTTCAACTGTAACTTTGCGTCCTGCGCACCAATTTTAACTTTTTTTTTTTTTAAATTGTGTGCCAGACTGTAAGGAAGAAGACCATGTAAATTATATTGTGATTTAACGTTTATCTTCAAAGATATTTGCAAATAAGTCGAATGAAGTAGTAAGCAAATTGTGCAAAAATCACTTTTTCTTTAAAAATTCATAACTTTAAAAAAAAAACCGATAAAGACATTTCACAAACGGATCTTAAAAGTACAGAAATGATAGTATATGAAAAAAAATACGTCATAATTATTTGTTCCAAAAAGTATAATTATTTGACATGGTGAACTTGGACAATTTTTAATTTTTTTGGAGCATTTCAATCACGTGAAAATTCCTGTAATTCTGGAACTAATTTATAAAAACTTTTAAGACTTTATGTCTAGTTTTTGCGATTGATAAACATAATTTAAAAGTTAAATTTGGCTTTAAAAACTTTACAACAACAAAATGGCGGACATGAGAACCATACATATATTTAATTATTTTACAGAAATAAGTTAAAAATAATTTAAAATTACAATATAATTCTTTGAAAGTAATTTATTTTTATAAAAAAATGAAATTTATTATACCGAACAGTGAGTACATATTTTTGCCCTGTGTACTTTGCACATTGGCAATTCGCATTTCAAACATTTGTACATCATATAAATGAAATAACATAACTTGAAATAATCTGTATTGTATGATTATAACGTCAAATTATCTGATACATTGCGGTAAATAAATAAAATAAAATATCTCAAAAAATTTTACTAACACATAAAGTGGGTATAACATACCCGAAACAAACTTTCTTACTTTTTTGCTCGGTTTCTACGGCGAGTCTGACGCTGTTTCAAATTCGACGTTCAAGACAAAACCTCAAAGTTTTTTTACACGCCCATACCGGACCGCTACCGTCATCCGTTTCGAAATGGCACGTGATTAAATAACCGACCGGGTATGGCATACCCAACATATGTGTTTAAGGGTTAAGATTAAGCTATCCAGCCCTTTGTAACTTTTTAATAGCTGAGCAAAAAAATTACTTTTAAGAGCAAAAAATAGCAAAAAAGTGTGCAAGTAGAAACCTGCACATTGCTTCCTCTATGAGAAAGCCTGTTTTTTTTATGCGTAATTATTTAGTATAGATATTTATTAATTTGGCTTCCTCATAGAGGAAGCAATGTGCAAGTTTCTACTTGCACACTTAAAAACTATGAGGAAGCAATGTGCAAGGTTCTACTTGCACACTTTTTTATGGATAGAGTATCATTAAAGATACTTACACATTTTTTAAACAGAAATCGGTAACCCTCTCATCGATTCTCGCAAAATTCAAAACAACCTTCTTTTAATAATACTCTATATAAAATTACATGTACGTCTTATACACTTTTTAAGCAGAAATCGGTAATCCCTTCACCGATCCTCGCCAAAGTCACTAACAATCTTCCTTTAAAATGATACTCTATCCATTAAATAACTTAGGGTAAACCGAGGCGAATCGGATAAATATAAGTTTTAAGACAGTTTTCGTTAGTGTTTTTTTTTTTCAAACAAGCTATTTTATTGT